TGAGACCTTTCTAATGATGTATAATAGTTTATATGTTTTCTTTAGAGAAATATCGAATCGTGAGGAGTATTGCTCCAACCTAGCCGCACTTTGCATTTTGACAAGTTAACAACTACACAGATTGCCTTATACTGTCTAAACCGTAAAAGATACAAAAAAACTTTGTTCGTACGAAAGATGCAGAATAAAATTACGAATAAAATGGTATATAAATGGTTAGGTGTGTTCATATAATTTTCTCGAGATTTTCCGATTTTTCCGAATTTTCACGACGGCAACTCGCCTGTAGGCCACACCGTTGGGAATTCGAAGTTGTGATATATGGGAAAAGAACTAAGAATTTTGAGACCTTTCTAATGATGTATAATAGTTTATATGTTTTCTTTAGAGAAATATCGAATCGTGAAGAGTATTGCTCCAACCTAGCCGCACTTTGCATTTTGACATGTTAACATCTACACATATTGCTCTATAACATAAAAACCGTAAAAGATACGAAAAAACTTTGTTCGTACGAAAGATGCAGAATAAAATTACGAATAAAATGGTATATAAATGGTTAGGTGTGTTCATATAATTTTCTCTAGATTTTCCGATTTTCATAACGGCAACTCGCCTGTAGGCCACACCGTGCAAAATTCGAAGTTGTGATGTATGGAAAAAGAACTAAGAATTTTGAGACCTTTCTAATGATGTATAATAGTTTATATGTTTTCTTTAGAGAAATATCGAATCGTGAGGAGTGTTGCTCTAACCTATCCGCACTTTGCATTTTGACAAGTTAACAACTACACAGATTGCCTTATACTGTCTAAACCGTAAAAGATACAAAAAAACTTTGTTCGTACGAAAGATGCAGAATAAAATTACGAATAAAATGATGTATAACTCGATATATGTCATAATATATTTTTCATGAGATTTTTCAATTTTTACTTTAAATTAAAAATGTTTGAAATTTTTCGCTGACTTTAAATTCATTTTGCGGGTTATGCTTTTTTTTACAATATTGTTTCAAATGATGTAAAAAGTTAAATTAGCGAGGTGCCTCAATATGCAAAAAATTGGCCCACTCTAATATATATATATATATATATATATAAGGTTGTCAAATATCTCTCTTCCGCCTTTTTGTATTATAAACCAAGAGCAAAAAAGCGGAAGGGAGATATTTGACAACCTAATATATATATATATATATATATATATATATATGTATATATATATATATATATATATATATTTGTCATTTTAATAAACATTGATAGAATGAATAATATGAACGCAACAGTGGCTGTCAGTAACAGTAAGTTATAGGGTTAATATGATTCAGTTATATTATTCTACAAATCAATATGCCCATCAGCATATATAAATGGCAAAGAACTGTTATTCGAGTTGTATTCAAAATCATTGTTATAAAGTAAGGAAACAAGCAAAAGCATGTTGCTTGCACAAAGCTGACTTGATTCTGATTATTTCGAAGAGACTATTTATTTGGTAATTTTTTACTATCATTAATTATTAAATATATTCTTTCTTTTTGAGCACAGCAAAAATTATATGTTTTATAAACTGGCTTATGCTCAAACTCTGTCAAAATGAACAGTGTCGATGGCGACTCGGCACTGGCCAAAATGCAAACGTCGGTTGTAAAGGAATATAATGTTCTATGTTCAACAATGTCACTGATATTATTATGCATTAATCAATTTTAATAGAATATGCATAATTATTTATCTTTATTCTACTGACCTCCTGGCAAATTGGGCAGCGTGAAGTCGTCGTTCTGCTTTGTCCCACTTCGCCAAATACTCTGCACATCTGATCCTGCGGCGACCCTTCCCCGACCGCCTTTGCTGTTGGCAGGCGTAGCCCAGGCGTGTCGTTGCTGGTGCATTGACAAGGTCTGATGGGCATGCTGAGGAGGTGGATGCAGTGTCTGCATCGAATGCTGATGTATGTGCTGCTGCAGGTGTAGCGGATTATTCGTATTGCTATGAGTGATGGTGTTGTTAGAGTTTGTGCCGTTTACAGAGTTGTTTATTAACTCTAGTTGTGTTGCATCAAGGAGCAGACCACCACCAGGTGTTCGCTTTATATGTTGGCCACGAGGAACCATTGATATCGGTGATCGGTCAAATCTAGAAATAGATCAAAATTAATAAATTTTTAGTCAGAGACATGTTAAGAGTAAAAATGTTGTAACGATTATAAGTATCAGTTATAGACGCTCGCTGATAATAAAAACATTGAATCAATAGCATGCATCAATTAGCATATCTTGAATAAAATAATTATAATATAATTAATTTTTTATAAAAGATCACTATAAATAATATAAAATTAAATATTTGGGTTTTTCAAAATATTTTTTTTATAATGAAAAATACATTAAGGGAAGTAGTTTCACTCGTCAAAATAAACATCATATTATTATATTATTTTACCCATTTTGTTGAGACCGGGCAGGCGCGGGATGCACACCAGCTTTTGAAAACGGCGATCTGTTCTTTGCTTGTTGCTGCTGCTGCATAGCCATCTGAAATTTAGTTTATTTAATTTTTGTGTAATCAAATGCCATTATGAACATTTTAATGTGAGATCGACTTGTTTTGTAACTTTTCGTGAAAATGCTATTATTTTGCAAAAAATAAATAAAACATAAATAGCAAAATATATTATAAGAAAAGTGTAGAGCAGTTAGTGTAGAATATTTAGATGGTATTAAGTAAAAAAATATTTTTTTTAAATAAAAGTGGAAAGAATTTAAAACCAGATATTATGATAAATATCATGCAAATTAAAATTCTATCTATAAATCTATTAAAAAATATACTGACCAAAATTTGCTCATGCTGCGATGGGTGCTGTTGATGATGTGTACAATGTTGGGAATAGTGCTGTGGGAGGAGTTGTGAATAGTGCATATAATGGTGTGGTTTTGGTTGAGGGTGCGATTGATGTTGATGCATTTGAGAGCATTGATGCTGATGGATGTGTTGCTGATATTGTGGGTGCAGCTGATGCGGTTGGTGGTGGTGATGATGCCGATGATATTGAGCAAAATTTGAACTGTTCATTACAGGTTCCAGCATCTGATGGCAGACGCCCCCTGTATCAGGCGGTAAACTATGGAATGGTGGTGGTGATGGTGCATCCCCTGTTTCGCCGCCGCCATTTGCGCCGCTCGTCCCTTTACTACTGGTGTCCGCTGATGTGCGCCTTGTAGGTGAAGTTCGTCGAGCAGGTCTAGCTTCCATTAACATATTTGAAATTATCTGCCGCGTTAACGGATGATTTGACGAGTCTTTGAACGCGTTGGAGTTTCGTTGCAATAGTGATTGAAGTGACTGATTGAACCTTGTGAGAGTTTATTAAAAATATTAACAGGGTATGGTAAATGAATTACTATAAATTATCATACTTGTACCAAATGATTCCAATTTTACCTATATGATATTTGATCTGATTTCTCCGTTAATGTGTCAGATTTGCTTTTAGCGACGTGTTGCTGCGATAATCCCCGTTGAAGCATTTGCTGCTGTTGATGTTGCATCTGCTGTTGTTGTTGCTGTTGATGTATATGTTGCGCGTGCTGCGCTTGCTGATGGTGCATGTGCGACTGAATCTGCCCTTGGGAGTTCACCGGATCACTTTTAAGCGGCACACGTCTAGTGGGGGTGTTGTGGTTGTTATTATTGTAGAGCACATGGGTGCTTGATAAATGGTTGCTACTGTTTTGTGCCGTAGATAATGAATCCATTGATTCGATTCTCTTGCTGTGCACTGAATCGCATCCCAACAAATTGATGCGCCATCTGAATTTCGGAAAGATCGTTTACAGATACGTTTATTTTTCTACCGACGCGTTTATAAAAAAAGTGCCATAAAACAGAAATTAAAAGAAATCAGATAAAATAAACTGAAACATATTTTATTGCTTTGATAGTTAACCCTAATTTTGCTAACGATTTCGCCGGTAAGGCAACTTTTTGTTATAAACCGAAATAGATAGCCAGTGGATTAAACATACTTGTGCTGTGGTTGATCCTCAAAATCAGCAGCTTCTTGCACTTCTGATTCTACCTGGTGTAGCTGTTGAACTTGCAATTGCACAGGTACCTCTGCTTGTCTACAGGCTGCAAGAATGGCTGCGCTTTGGTGCTTTCGAAGTAATGGATTACTCTGAAATTCCGTACAAACTTTCTGTCGAAGCTCTGGTAGATATTTATCGGCAAAACCATCATGCATGAAGGCTTCGTGGCGAAGTAATGCTGGTGCCTAATAGTAGTTTTTTGTTTAATAAAATGTATTAATAGTTAAAATATTAAGTTTTATTACCTTTGGTCTTTGTAGCGGATCTAACCTGAGACACTGCTGCAACAAATCAAGAGCAGATCGGTGCCAGGTAGGAAATAACTGATACAGCGGAATTCCATTACCTTCTTCAGTCATCTGCTGAGATTGAGTTTTTCTAAATCCCTTGAATAAGGGATTTCGAGCCACAAAATGTTGATGACGCGTAGATAATTTTCCTGCAAATATAATTAGCAATATCAGTAATTAGCTTTTTTTAAATAAGTTAACACAATGTTACCAAATAATGATTACAATGAACCAATTAATATAGTTGAAAAAATATATTTCAAAAATAAGTTTAAAAGTTTTGTATAATTTATTTAATTTGTTAGAGGCAAGTACAGCATATTTCATTTATTTAACTATGCCGGTCAATAAACATAGTGTTTTTTTATCAATATTGAGTTATTGAATAGATATATCTCTATTGTCATGAATTTAATATTCCTGTATTTTATTTTAGAACTTACCAAGCATGCGAACTATTTGGAACAGTTGGTCGACATCCGAATCGCCTGGAAATAGTGGATCGCCCGACATCATTTCTGCAAAAAGGCAACCTACTGCCCAAATATCGACGGGTCCTCCGTATCTAGTGTCACCTACCAGCAGTTCTGGTGCTCGGTACCAACGTGTAGCCACATAGTCCGTGTATGTTTCGGCCGGCTGAGCGAGAGGACGAGCAAATCCGAAGTCGCAGAGCTTTACGACACCTAATCGTGAAACAAGGACGTTTTCAGGTTTAACATCTCGGTGTATCACCTAGGTAAGAAAAAGGTATTAAATATTAGTTATTAGATAGTCTAATACAGCATGTACTTACTTTATATATATACGAGGTCTGTTCAAAAAGTACCCGGAATTACTAATAATTAAATTTCGCGGGTCTGGAGTGTCTTATTGTCAAAAATTTTTTTTTATTGTGTTGGTATACATGCCCCTAAAGTATGATGAAATTTTCAGCTATATTCACTGTTTACTTTGTCTGTGGTAGTCGCTAAGGTTCGACGTGTTTTTCTGAACTCGGCGATTTTTACAATGGAAGAATTGAAAAGTCAAAGAATTTGTATTAAATTTTGCGTAAAAAATGAAATAAAGTGTTGCAAAGTGCAAAAATTCACCAGATATGGCTCCGTGTGACTTTTTCCTATTCCCAAAGTTGAAGAGACCCATGAAAGGACGGCGGTTTTCCTCGATTGAAGAAAATCGCTGAGAGTGCTCAAGGACATATCAAAAAGTGAATATCAAGGGTGCTTCGAAAATTGGAAAAAACGCTGGCATAAGTGTATTATATCTGGGGGGGACTACTTTGAAGGGGACCACATTAATGTAGACGAATAAATAAATATTTTTTTGAAAAAACGAAAATTCCGGGTACTTTTTGAACAGACCTCGTATATATATATATATATATATATATATTATTTATATATTTATTTATTTATAGCTCAAGTCGTACTCGGGCTATATTTTGTCGGATAGCTATAAATTACATAATTTAGCACTACTGCATAGAATTATTTAGTTGACTAATTAAACGTTCAGATTTGGAAGGCTGGACGATTTTGTGAAAGAGAAATAATCAAAAAGTAAATAAAAGTAAGTGAGTTGTCCACTAATATTGTGGACTTGTTCAGATTATATCCGCAGATCCAATTTCGAACTTCGAACACCTTGCAGCTTTAGTCGTATCTGTGCAAAATTCCTTACTTGTACAGGATAAATAAAAAGCATGTTTTATGTTTTTTTTTTGTTTTTTTTTAATGGTTAAAAATACGGTTTTTCTCTTCAAATGAGAATAAAAAAAATAAAAAGCCAATTGAGTGTGATTAATAAAGGTTTTATTTTCTTGAACAGTTATTCTTAGCATCCAGAAACTTAATATTTTTGTAAGTGTATTTATTACTTATGACAATTATTGTTATATTTTAGGATTTGAATAATTATGTTCGACTCGTTAACTAATAACTAAAGAAAAGTCAATGCCAGAATAAATTCAATATAGTTTTTTTTTGTAGTAGGTAAGACTAAAAGCAATAGGACTATATAAGATAGTATGATTAAGGGGAGTAAGTGTCTTAATCGTACCGATAGTACATTTTTAAAAGACGCGAAAATACATATTTCGATAAAAAATAAAGTTACAGTGATTGTTAATAAAATGTCAAATATAAAAATAGATTCGATATATACACCTAAGTCTGTTTTTACACGGTAGATTGGTTCCAGAAGAAGCCGTGTAAAAAAAAACGTGTAAAAAAAGACATTGATCTTATACAAAAATGGGTGATTTGTTCCTAATCTCTAAAACCTATTAAAATTAGTGAAAAACAAGAATTTTTAAGAACAAGAATTCATGTTTATTTTATTAAATCAAATATATAATGCTTATTTTCACAAGCATAGTAATTAATGATAAAAAAGTTATGCACTCTAATCTTAAAAGTAATATAAATTAAATGTATGGCAAGTTCAGGAACTAAAAAACTATGTTGTGAACGAAAAGAATAGGTTATTCAATTTTTAAGGTTTTTCTAAATTAGTGCTATTCACATTTGCTTTGACCAGTAAAAATTGTTTGTACGCGCTAAAGGGGAATTCACTTAAATCTTTAAGCTAGTATTCGCAAACTATCGATACTATCGATGGTTTCAGACTTTTTTCTTTCATAAATACTTTTTTGTGATATGAACATACTTCGCAAAAATTAAATTTGACAAAAAAATTTAAGTACATAAAATTTCAAATCGTGCTAAATGGAATAAAATCGTGTATATATAAATATATATATTATAAAATCTAAGCATAGAATAAACCTAACTATTACATGATTTTTTTTTTGGTTCTTTAATGTGCAAGCTATCGTGCACACCTATAACTCAAAGTATTATCGCAAACTTACTTATTAAGACCTACAGGGTACAATAAAAAAACTATTTTAAAAGTACGGTAATGTAAATTAACAACACGTTATCCATGTACAGTTAGGGTTAATGAATGTCTAGTTACTTACATTATTAGAATGGCAAAAATCCACAGCCCGTATAACTTGATAAATGTATTTTCTAGATAAATCGTCACCGAGACCTCCACCACCTCGGCTCTCCAACTCGTCCAGAACAGTGTGTTCTAGATATTCAAATACTAAATAAAATCTGCGCTTTCTGCGGAATACTTCTATCATGTTGACTAGATTTTCATGGCGCAGTTTCTGAAAATGTAGAAGGTACAATATTATAATATATCATTTTTATTTTTCAATAGTAACATTTTAATTCGACAATATATGATAAAAATAATTATTATTCAATATTTATTTAATTATTCATTGAAAATAATTTACATTTATTACTAATTTTAAAGATAATCATTAATTCTAATTATTAAAAGGATTTGTTGCATAGACATTGTACGAGTATAATAATCAGCAAATGTCTATTATAAGACAGAATTAAATATTACAGTCATGACAAACATTTGTTTTGTATAAAATTCATCGATGATGGGACATTTATAACTACCTCCAAAAACATATATTACACTACGTTTCAGTTTTTTCCCTGAGATGTTATGATAATTTCTAAGTAATTTGGGAACGCTGATTCTAAAAAAGATAATAGAATTTTCCTAACAGCTCTAGTTTTCGAGATAATGTGCTAGTTTTACCTCTGAATACAATAAAAAATAACTCATATTTTTTTATGCCTTCAAAAGTCTCTTGTTGTATGATTTTTGACCAAGGTCTGACCATTTCAAAATTGAATTGCGCAATCAAGATAACACATGGGTTCTTCGTACTATGTAAAAAAGATGTGTCAGACAAGGTCTGACTTTGTCGTATGTTCCAACAATTTTCAGGTATCATGTGAAAGTCCCATCTTGATATCGCTCCTTCAAAGTCCTGATGTCTTAGATTCTCTCGCCTTGCTTTTCGCTAACATCTATAAGATTTACCAAAAATCGATCTGAATTCAAACATCAAACATAACAGTTTTTAACTCTTCCTGCGTTCTGTTTTAACGTTGATCTCTAAATCCATTACATGGTAGGCAGAAGATGGTGTTGTTCTAGGTTGCTCATCAATAGCCTGGATAAGGATCGTGTATCTGATTGTTAGAGGACCTCAGTACCTTTGGGGTCACGATTCGGGACTATATGCTTCTAATGCCAGAATTTATTCTATTGACATTTAACACAAAGAAGAAACAGTCGTCGTGGCAATTCTGAAGTTTTTTTTTCTAAATGACGAGGGTATTAAAATTATGCCATTTCTTTTTCCTTTTGGATAATAATTTGAACATAATACACATCTTTTTTACATAGTACGAAGAACCCATGTGTTATCTCGATTGCGTAATTCAATTTTGAAATGGTTCTAATATAATATCCCCTTACGCTGTTCCATATAGGTTTCCAGTATTTGTCGAAAACATATTAACCACAGATGTAACAAAAACTATCTGGATTAGGCACACAACATCTTAGAGTCGAAGCCATACCGAAAACAGTAGATAAAACTTTTAGTTATTTGTTAATTAATAATGCGATAATTATAGGGGATAGTTCTCTAACACTGAAAAACTGGAGATGTAGCGGATAAAAGTAACGTATATTTGAAATCAGCGTTCAATTCAAAGTTTGTTCAAAATGAAAGTTTGAGAAAAAATACAAAAGTGCCATTTCAGTCGGGCAGTGTTATGTATGATTAAATATGTTACCTTCAACATGCGAATTTCCCTGAGGGCCATCTTTCGAACGGTCGCATCTTCTTCGGTCTCCAAAAACTTCTTGATGGCAACTATTGTTCCGCTCTCCCTGTGTCTGCACTTCATAACGAGCCCATAAGATCCCTCGCCGACCACCGCAAGCGTGTCGTACTTCTCCATGTTTTATTTTTTTTTTTAGTTTAGTTTATTCTTGACATACAAAATGATAATTAGACCCAGGTGTCCAGACAACACTTCTCTTGTACGACGATGATTCGGTAACTTGGTACTTGTTTCTGAACGATGTTAAATATTTTTTTGAAAACAGTAATGGTTTCGTTCTGGTTACGTTAAATTCAAAATCGTAGCGATGGGGTTTCTGTTGGCCTGTAGAATTTTCCTGAAAAAATTACATGATCAATATGAATAAAAATATACCAAGAAATATAAATTAATAATTTTGATTTTGGAATAAATTGAAAAATTGAGTTTTTATTTTAGTTTCATAAAAAAATATTGTTTTTTGTTCTTTTTTTTCTAAACGAAATTAATCTGCTTTAATTTGCGGCATTAAAAAAACGAGCATGTTAGTTAGCATATTTATCGCACTATAAAATACAAAATACCTACTAATAAGAGATACTACTGATTATACATCCGAAAGAAAGCATAGCATACTATTCATAATAGGGGAACTAGGAGTTACCTGTAATAGGGATTACTAGCAACAGGCGTTTTTCAATCGGATCTTAATCGATATTAAAATATTTTTTGGCTCGATTGGACATGTAAATCGTCCTACATAATATTGTCATAGCTACTGTTCCGCAGGCCGACGTAATAAACAGAACTGTGCAGGTTCGTTATTTTTAATATGAATTTAAAAAAAATCACACCTGGGATTAATTTTCTTAAAAATTAGTAAAGAATAAATTATCTTAGGTGTTACTGTCATTTTTTGTTGTTACTACTTAACTTGATAGGTGTTAAAACTATCTCTAGGCACGAGGGAAGTTGTAACAACGTACTTGAATGATTGTGAACAAAATGATTGTGAAATATTGCACAATAGTTGTGGAATAATTTTTACTTGATTCGGTAAAGGAATAGTTACAGAAATCGTTCATTTTTATTTAGTAGAAATATAATTGGTGATTCTGGAGATATATTAATTTAAAAAAAACTGTTACAACAAGTTTCTAGCACCCCTACATGTATATAAAAATTAATAATTATAATTATGATATGAGGCTTATACTTTTGAACTAATGATCAATAAACTGCGTAAGCATTTATTAGTATTTATTTGTTTACTTAATTAAAACACCGATATTGACAAGTAGAACAAATTCAATTTACTAACGATTTGAAAGATTTACTAACATTTAACATTTGAAGACCTCTTATTTTTAACCGAAAATCTAGCGTGGAACATATGTTGCCAAAATAGCTTTGATAATGATGTAAATTATGCTATACGCATGTGTACAATATTCTAATATGTAACTTATATTTCGTACTATTTTCTATCGTATGCGACGCTATTTTACGAAATTCATTATATGACTATGTATTTTGTGTATTATTTTCATTCGTCACGCGATTCAATATTTGTATTAAAACCACACGTGTAATTACGTGTAATCGTAAAAAAATATTCATATTAGAGTTATCAGACTCTGAAAATAATTTTCCTAGTTTTATCTTGGTTGCTATATAAAGTTCTGAAATAATAAATTTAAATATATTTCTGCGTTCAAGGACTAAAAGACTCGACAGTTGTTAATTAAAATTCCGAATTATTTAAAAGCACAGTAACTAATTGTATACATTAATAATGAGGGGATCGATATTTTCAAGATTGACTAGAAGTACAATGTCAATGCTAACTTATGTAAGAACTTATGTAACATTGAATATTATAGGTAAAATCACGCTCTATAATTTAAACTATAACTCATAAAACGGTAACTGTTTGATGGTATTATTAATACAACAATTTATTGCAAAATGACAGTCAAGATGTGAGGAATTAATTATAATATAAAATGATTTTATTATGAAATTACATGAATTTTAAACCGTGTTGAAGCAAGAATAATTCTTTAAGGCTATGCAATAAACTATAGTTATTAGTTAGTATAGCTATAGTGTTCATGCGCGAAGTATAATGTCTTCATAATCAACATTATAATTTTGTGTTTAGATTTTTAAATAGAGTAGAATATTAAGTTCCAGTTCTAGCTAGTAGGGGAGAATGAGTACGGTTGTGCCACAGTTATTATTTATCAGTTTACCAGTTAGCTGGGAGAAAAGTGAATAAAATGTTAAATTAAACATTTGTTTGTTGTCAAGCAGTAGTGACAATTTATCTATTTAATATTTATTTGGAAAGGACAAGAAATATATGTCACAACCGTACCCAACGCACACTTTTGAAAACTAATCATTTTTATGACTGACAATTGTGAGCTAAATTATCGAAGCAAAAACTAATTGCTGGTAAATAACTACTGATGTTCAACTTGCAGCAAAATAACTAAAAAAATCTATCTATATACAATTAACAGTTACGATTAAAATAATTCGAACATAAAAACTTACTATAGACTCTTCAAAAGCAATATGGTCTGCAAATCATATTAATTTGAATTAATTAATTAAGACACTGACAGAAAGCAATAATGTAACTTGTTCAAACAATCGTTCATCTTTCTCCCTTTGGACCTTATCTCAAAATCAGTATAATTCAGCTGTTATGACGACTATCGTGTCACTATCGTACCCTGGCACAACCGTACCCAATCTCCCCTACCTTATGTTTATGTCGACGATAAGCTATATAAATTTCATATTAAAATTTGAACTTCAATTCTCGTGATAATTTAAACGTCAGTCAATCTCGAAATGAAACCGTTTTAAACTAATATATTATTGTAAATATATATTGTCAAAAAAATATGTCAAAAAAAATATTACATGAGACAAATAATTATTTGCAAATTATTACCTTGTAACTCCAAAATTTTCGTCTTAAATCCCGATTTATTTTTTTGATTACATGCTATGTATTTTCATTTAAATTTTGATATAGGATATTGTAATTGGAAGGGAAAATTTGTATAAATTACTGAAGATGTATCAGAATTTTGAATAATAAAAAATGAACCCGAATTTTGTTTCACGGTTTATTTTGACAACCAGCTTGTAATCGAAATTGTTTCAGACGAATCGCGGGATCGATGAACCGATGTCATTGCGATCAAATGATATGTGTACTATGAATTATTCGTACAGCATAAGATCCTTCAACTGTAGACTGAAACTAGTGATGCATGGCATCATGCCTTAAGGCGAATTGCTGGAATTTCCCGTATCGTAACGAAATGTTCGAGGAATATTAAATGTTTTCAAATAGATTATTATAAATATTGTAACATTGTCTAATATTTATAAGAATTATATAAACTGAATTGCAAAGTTGAAACTATTTGTTTAAAGTATATTAGAACTTTAGTCA